GGCGAGACCGTCGCGACGGAGAAATTGTCCCTGGGCGACATGACCGGCCAGACTAACGAGCGAAATGAATGCGGATCGAAGTTGCATGGCTCGTAGAGAAAAACGTATCGCTTTTCGGACTTTCTTTCTATCTCTGAGATGATACATAAAAGTGTGTCTAAAGAAGGGCGTTGTAGTACCGTAAGGAAGAGACGGAGACTACCGTTATGCCGGTTCGGCTGGCCCAGGATATAAACGACCGGAGCCATACACATCGAGTCTGCCCTGCGGCGAGTCACTTTTCTGATCCCTTAGAGTGCGGAGAAAGCAGAATTACATACAGAGAGAGAAAGAGAGAAAGACCCAGTTTCAGCACCACTAATCTTGCGGGCGTTGTGATTTGAATGCCCCTCCATGTTTTATCAAACGATTGAGAGTTGCTGGACTCGGATTAAGTTGAAGTCTATCCAATCGCAAATTAACGGCGTTTCTGCTTCAGCATGTAAGTTATCATGCGGCTTGGCGGTGAAGGGGTCGTTGCGAGCGGCTGCGCGCCAGCGAACCACCCTCAACTAACTGACAGGAACTTCTGAAGCAGGAGTCCTAGATAAAGGTAGTTGTCTGATTGGCAGGTGCAGCACCAAGCAACTGCTGGGACAATTATCCAGTGGGCAGTTGGGAACTTTCGGGCGTGACCATGGACATTCGTCTCATCATGATTGGGCGTGACATGCCACGCGATCCCCACAGAAAAGCTCACTGCTTGTTCCAACGCGTTCAGGCGAGCAACCCTGCGGATCACTGACCGGGCAATCCATCAAATACGCCCGCTCGGCGTTTTGCAGCCAAGACCCGATTCTTTCTCTTTGATACTGCTACCTGTACTCTTTACTGCCTGCTGCTACCTTCCCCGCAGATTATGAAGGCGTCCATTCAGACATGTGGCTGCATGAGCGCTGGGGTTGACGTCCCACACCATTCAATGGTCTGTTCATCAGCTTGACCACAGCTTGGACCATTGCGGATGGAATTGCCAGGCTGACTCATCGTTCCTCTGGCATAGCGATGGGACTGTAAAGCATCTCAAGCGAAGGGTGTAGGAAATGGTAGCCCTGCTATATTCACCTGCTTCTCTCACCACCATCGCTGCTGGTGACAAGAAATTTAGTCTTGGAACCGGAACGACCGTCAAGTCCGAAATGACAATGGAGGCGAGGCTGTTGAGGCAGATTGAGGTGTATGATCCCCTAGATGCGACTGGCATGGACTCATGAATTGCCCATGCAGACCTACAGATCTTACGAATATCCGACATCCTGAGAATAGCATTAGAAGATCAGAGGAACAGGTTGTGTGCTATTCGGAAACACTCTGCTCCTGGGTGCAGGGCATCTTGCTGCGATGACAATAACCGGTGAAGCCTGGGCTATAAGATGACGCTGAAGCAAACCTTATAAAGTAGCACGTCTGCGTCAAGAACGCTGCCCCTGCTATCCCAGACTATCTACATTTCTGACCGCTTCCAACCCGTATATCTGCGCGAACCCATCCCTTTTTCGGGCGACCCTTTTCGAATTCCTATCATGGCATTCTACCAATTCACGCCTGCACGGTGGAGTAAGCTTTTAGTCGAGCGTGAGTAAGCGAGATATGCCCGGTCGAACATGCACATACTCATATTAGCGGACGGCAGGTAAGAAATCCGAAGAAAATACTAGAGCGCTTCTGCAACTATTGGAGCAAGAGGTGTCCTGCCTTGGAGATACAAGGGATGGCTCGCTTCAGGAAGCAGCACACGGCAGAGCCGCATTATGGGCAGGGCATTGCCGTCTCTTGAATCGATCCAAATATCTTGAGGAGCAACTGGGCCTCGCAAGACGGCGATTGAGCGTCAAGCAATTCGAGCTGCGGGCAGCCCACTTCCGAGCCTGCGAAGATCGAAATAATCGGCCATGCCATGAATGTCGTTTGGTGGGGGATGTCGATCTTGCGCCGTGCTTCCAACTCGTATGTCGGCGATGTTCCCAACGGCATATTCGTTGCACATCGCCCTATACTCACACTCCAACCGTCAGGGAGCCGTCATTCAGCGCACGTGCAAGCTCCCTGCTCGACGAGATCACCCATGAAGTGCGCACGCTTCAAGAAGGCTCCCGGTTTACCATGTCAATCTGGGGCAAGGAATATTTGGTCCAAAATACGCACCGTTTGAAAGAGAACTGCAAATGGCTTGAGCAACAACTAACGAATACTCGGCGGGAGTATGAGAAAGTTATCTCCGTGCTCAACTCAGCTCATTCCAAGGCAACCCTAGACCGGCGAAACAGACCATGCGAAGGGTGCTTGTCAATATTTCGCGAGGTTTATCTTGCACCATGCTTCCATCTCGTATGTCGGGCATGTTATCCGGATCCCGGGGAGGAGCTTTTCAAAACGTGCCGTGCAAAGCACCAAGGCATTTCTGCCACGCGCCCTGGCGGACTTCCACGCCTGGCCGTCTGAATGCGGCGCCTGGGTTTGTCCTGTGAATGTAGCAAGGCAAATGTTACGTCTACTTTGCTTGTGCAATACGACATGGAAGTGGTGACGAAAAATGGAATTTCTTGGATTGGGCTCTTAATCTCTGAACCAAGAAAACTCATGGACTCGGGAGTTCCCGTCCTACGACACACTTTGCTACTGCGTAACCGAGGCTGATGAAGCACGGACAACCATACAACATTCACTTACAGGCAACGGGAAATCTGATATATTCTCCAGGTGCTGTTGGCCACACCTTCACTGACCGCGTCGGTGGGTTATGTGGCCATTGAAGGACCAAGGTGGTTACTGTGAGGACCAGGGCCAGTGAATTATCATTCTGTTCGCCATCAGGTCATTCTGTTCTGGAATATTCAGTGCAAAATATAAACTAGAAAACAAAAATCGAAAAGCGCGGAGAGTAAAAGCAAGAAGCAAAGTGAGTTCGGTGTTGATTATCGCCCGCGATATTTGCTGCTTTGTACTGTCCCCGACTCTGCCCATGGCAACATGTCCAGACTACCGCTTCAGAATGCCCATGTCGTCCTGCAGCCGCTGGCCAAATTTGCGTTCGTATTCGTCCGCGTAAGCGTGGGCTGCTGCCGTGAATCTCTCAAATAGTTGGTCTCCAAGGGTGCTCACTTCAGTATTCGCACACCTTGGTGATATTCTTATATTGATAATATTGCTGCCCGATAATAGTAAATTTCCTCCCTTCTTCTTCCTTGTTATTCTGTACTATGAAAAAGAAACGTCGCAAACGCAAATGAAGTAAGCCTAAGGAACCTTGCTTTTGGCAGAGGGAACGTTACTCAGAAATAGTTGCAAGTCATCATCCGTGGCGTCCTCGCCCTGCGCTGATCTGATCTTCCTTGTGTGGAGTAGACTCGTTGCCTGTCGAGACAGTGGCTGGCGAAAATACCCATGGCGATGATGAACTGGTTCGTAAACCTTCGAACCGGCGTTTAATTCAAGCCGAACCACGTCGATGCCATTCATGCGAAGGAAGAGCTGCTCACGTGTAACTGACCAACATGTGCGGTGTCTATTAATGGATTTAAAACCGTGAAGTTACACTAGGTTGCAAAAATGGCGCAACTGTTTTTACTCTTTCTTTGATTCAGAAACCCTAATTAAATTTACGCTAAACTACTTCTGAGCTATTTTCCGGGCCTTTGTTACCAGCTGTCGTATTGAAATGTAATTATGCAGACATGGCCCATCATGTCTTACGTCATCGGCTGAACTCGACCCTCGGAAATACTCGTCCAAAGCCTCGTTCCACCCGAAAACTTCCTATAAAAAGCCACGTGACTCGCAAATTCTCCTTCACCCGAGCAAACCGCTTAGAACTCTTCCTTTTGTCCCAATGGGCGTAGCTAGTTCGTCAATACATACGCTACTGTACCCGTAACAGCTTATTTGCCGTATATCTTCTGATGCAAAGGCTTTTTTTCGTCAGATCTTCCTGGAGGATCACGTCAATTATCGTCACGGCATCGACGCTCCTAATCTCGCTTTAATCCCAACACGGCCTAAGAGATAAAATTTTACCTTCCTTGATTTCTAATGCTGCTAGCTGTTCTCTGGCCATGGGGAAAATGACTTTTGGGTTTCGGGGTTTACTTGGCATTTTCATGAGAGGCAAAGTTTACAATTAGGAACTGGCAAACAGGCGACGGCAGTGTACAGTATGCTTGTACTTGACGGAACCCAGACTGTACCCCATCATTTCTTAATTAACCCATAACGTATCCTTTCACCAGTAACCTCATGTCTTGGAGTCGCCCAGCCAGTGGTATTTGAAGGAATCTTTTTCCAATCAACCAAAGTTAGTGTGAAGTTGCATGGGGACCCGACTTTCCAAGTACCAAGTAGCTGGGCATGGTTGCAGTTGCTCATGTGATGCAGTCGAGAATACCTATAGTTTTATATAATAGGGAAACACGTCAGTAATCCATTTCGCATTGATTTTCAGATTTATCTGATCAACACCGTGTCTTGTTATTGCTAAAACTCGTTGGGAATCGTCCTACAGACCAAGAATTATTCCTGATATTTTAAGTGCCAAATCATCCGGCATTTCTCTAAAAGGCATGGACCATGGGAACGCGGTGTCGGCGCCAGCTTATGAGAGGTAAGCCGCCGATATTTTTTCATATCTGACCCATCTGCTTCCTACCGAAGGGTCTTCTTCTCTACCCATATTCTATGAGGCATCAATAATAACGCCAATTCTTCTAGCCATGAGACCAACAAATCCAGCAAGCAAGAGCGAGTTGGCGGTAGCGAGAGCATAGGCGGTCGGGAGGCCAATAGAGAGGATATTAAAGCCTTAGATCGTTACCAAGGATACCTTAGACAGCTTATTGCCGTCATTTCGCACGCTGACCTAGAGACTGTGCATCGGCTGATCGACTTTCTTCGCTCAGGCGCATCCGAAGAAGAGATATTTAGGGAGTTGGAACATATAGTTAGCGCCCCCTCAGAAAGTGAATTGGTCATGATAATCTTCCTACAGTCAGGGGCAGCGCCCCTGGCAAAATATATGTGGATATGCTATTTCTTTTTGTAGAGACAAGATCATCCAGTAGCACATAGTACTATCCAAAAACCAACTTCTAGTTCTATTTTTATTGGGATCATTATTTGCTTTGCCCCTTTGCCATAGTAGAGCAATTCCATAAATTGCATACAATGGAAACTGCAGCGAAGTATAGGACTAGAACAAAACTTACTATATCGGCAAAGCAAAAGGCCAGAAGGGCGCTGCCTGGGTGAACGCGAACCTCTAGTATTAAAGCAGTAATGCATTGGAGCGCAGGCTGTCAGATCCCAATTCACAATCTCAGATTTGAAATTCATGGTAGACTATGGTACAGTATGCGAACACCCACGCTACCTGAATTTAGTTCTTCCTGCGACAGATAATACTGCGCGCTCTGCCACAAGCATCCTTGAAAGATTCAATAACCCTAAATCAGAGAGTCGATGGCCATTAATCCACGTATATCACTAGGACCCGACCGTCGTGTCTCTTGCGACTTTAAGGAAGTACAGTCAGGTCTCATGTTGATTCCTAGGGATGTGTCTTTGCTTAGGTTTCGCACCAAAACCTGCTGAATCTGCTCGAATGATGCATTGCTCCTCACAACACTAATAAACCGTTTGGACTTCTCCTCGTCTCGGACAGTCTCCAAAATATTGGCAATTGTATTCTCCAGGGTGCTTATTCTTTGCAAGAGTAGATTTCTGCGGCGGTTATCTGTGTCAGGGTCGATAAGGCATGTGGTATGATTCTGGCGGCACATTTGACATGGTACTCCACCAGTACACTAACTATAGCTTTAGCAGCACTCCAGTACATTTGTTTTGAACCACAAAATAATATAGCGCACGTACTTTGATCTTTCTTTCTCGACATGCAGAGCATGCTCTCGAAGTCTTCGTTCTCTTCGCTATGGGTTTAAGAGCGACGGGAGGAGGAGCTGTAGATGCAGGGGCAAGAATTCTTTGACTTCGCATAGACATAATCAACATAAAACAATTTAAAGAAATCAGTAATTGGAATTTACGACACTGAGGAATGTTTAAAGGAAAAATCATTATCTGGGGCACCAGCGGTTTATGTTCGGGGCAGCTTAAAATGAGGCGGTGACATCTATGTTATTTAAATGGTCGGAAATTACTTCCAGCACAGCTTGGACGCTGAAAACAAGGTTCATAGCTCTGTGGGGATCTCTAGCCCGATAATAGTCCAGTCAGAAACAAGGACACATCAGATCAAAAGTACTTGAGATGTTAATTGGTGGGATTCTAGGCCGAACACAGGAGCTTGCCCATCACATATCACGCTAAATCAAGAACTATGGCTATTCTTATCAACTCCGAGGGAACGAACACTTCTCTGAATATAAGTTTTGCACTTTAATGTTCGAGCCTTTCTACAAGGAAACATGACTTCATGACCGGTGTTGCCTTTGGGTGGCCTTGTAAAGTGGTGATGAGCTGATTTGAAGTCTCAGCTTCCAATGCGCAAGACGCAAGTCCCTCATAATCTCCAAATTCGCTAGAAACAAGACGCCTGTTTGGCGGGAGCCTAGACTCCACGCTACGCAGACCAGGGATAGAAAAGCTTCTCATTGCTAGATCAATCACGACATAAAAGGCGGCTGCAGTAGCTCAATCTGACAAATACATATATAGAGTCAATTATCTGCTACATCCCTTGTTTCTGTTCTCCGTTCTTCCTGTTTGATTGAAGCAAGTCGTCCAGATATTCACGGATCTGGAACGATGTGGTATCAAGTCGGACAAAATCCAGCAGTTTCAAGCCCAGTGACTGATCTTCCGAACGCATTATCTTTAGCAGATCATCGAGCAAGTTGTGGCAAAAGTCAAGTTCACCAGCCATACGTTTCACGGTTACACGCCGGCGCTTGTCTAATGTCTTGTCAATAAGACACTGTTGGCCAAACGCAGTGCAGCTAGCGCATGGTGACTCTCCGGAGCACTAGTATAGTTAGTAAATCAGCTCTAGTATTTTGGCTTTATATTAGCGGTGTCTTACTTTTCTTTTGGATATTTTACAATTAATGCAAGCTGTAGATGCCCGTTTTGGTCGAGTAGCTTTTCGGTGAAGCTGGTTAACTCACCCAGTGGATTTCCCAGTGAGCTCTCCTGGTTTAGAGCTGGCCGCGGTGCGATATTTCGATGCCTTAGTCATGGTAAGGTTCATTTTACACAAGATACGAGCAATTAAAGAGTTTTGCTAATCTTGATGATACAAGATAGATCTCACAAAGATGATTGACAAGATCGAAAACAGGATTCTCAACCCCGCACGACCACATCATTCACCTGATAGAACAGCGCTCTGAAACAAAATGCTGCTCTACACCGCCTGCCATACATTGGTAAGTGGATTTTGTTCGCAAGCGAACTGATAGCCTTCAGAGGTGTCATGGCGGCTGCCCTGCTAATAAGGCGCCGATAAGGCAGCCAAGGTACCCCGCATCCGGCTGCTTGGTCGATGATCAATCCTATCGTATATTGAAGCCTTGGGAGCCGCTTGACCCAGAAGACCTCAAGCAATTCATTTGATTCTTTTGACAACTGGAAATTCCTTCCCAACTCGTACGATCCCCATATAGCCTCGTCCTGATCGTCACCAGCCCTCGGAAGTAGCGCCTACGTTGGCCGAACAACACGCCGTCGCCGTTACAAGACGGCTCTATATCGTCTAAATTCAGGGTCATAGCACAAACATTTTTGAGTTGTTGCACTGCATGGTCATTTGAGATCGCGAAATGTATTAAATGCGTCCTAATTATATGAAGCAGTGCCCTCCTCGCTTTCCTCCTGGAAAGGCCAAAGCATGCCGTACCGCCACTCCCTAGCAAACAAGGAAATTTGAGCAACATCAAAGAAGCTTTAAATGCTATACCAAGCACTTTTCCGATATTCCACCGCCCTTTTGGAACGCGTACGTTTGCGACCCGAAGTAGCGGTGAGGCAGGAAGGCGTACGTTCCGAAGTCCAGCTTGAGAGTCTAGAGAGTTGTTGACGGCAGGGGGTTTCACGTTCTCGAGGCATAATCTAATATGAACATAATGTTATTTTAGCCATCCTAATGGATTTGTCTCCGACAAGGAACTGATGCCGACAATGTACCAACAATAACGGACCAGGCCGTTTGAGTTGCTCCACTGACTCGTGTATAACCCACAATAAGCACCTTTTCAATAGGTGGTGAGATAGGAAGAGGAACATGGTGGCGCTGACTCTAGCCTCCCGAAGAGCGTCACGTCGGGATTTCAAGTAGTTCGTGTGGGAGCTTTCTAATCGATATGGTTTCACTAATACAGAGTGGCGCAACGAACCAGTACAGCATAATTTTATGCATCGTATTGTGATAGCCAGTATATTATGCGGATTATAGCTGATCCGCTGCGTTATCAAACTAAGTTTAGCTCTAGGGCTCAGAATTGGAGGAAAAGTGTCAGTAGTTGCGCCATTTTTGCAACCTAGTGTATCCCCGAGTGGGGTACCTACGAGCGACTTCTGTGTTGAGGTGAAGCACCACTAGACCTCAACTTTTGTATCTCGGGAAAAGACCTACGAGCGACCTACGAGCGGTAACAACAGCAGAGAGTAGTGACTGTACCTACGAGCGGTACACGATTTTTTGACTGTACTGCGACTCAAGGACACGGGGATCACTGTACAGGTCTTTTGGAACGACTACATAAAGACCATTCGATCCGTCTCCGAACGACTTGCCGAAGGCTGTTGGGCAAGATGCCGACACGCGACGCGCGCGCGGGACGGGCCGAAACACGAACCCCTGAACCCTCCGACCGCGACGAACGCGAAGAATCACCACCACGGCTACGACCCAAACGGATCACCAGACCACCGAATAACTATGCCCGGGAACAGGAAGAGGAAGCTACAAGATATGCGTTGGGCAGTCAAACTGAACGCCGAGGGAGAGGCAGACCAAAGACCCGCAATGAAACCGCAGCAGAACGCGTCGACAGCTCAGAGGACGAAACAGAAACCGGTAACAGCAACCCGCAAATGACTGAACTGCTCGCAGAGTTAGTCAAATTACGAAGAGAAATTAAGAGAAGGGATGAAAGCCACAGAGAAGAACTAAGGGAAGTCAAAACTCAGTTTGCGGGAGCTCTTGCTGGGATGCAGCAGGAACTGGCGGAGCTGCGCAATGAGTTGGCCACATCCCAAACCAACCATGACGAGACACTTCGCGAAATTCAATCCCTACGCGCCTCTATAACCATCCCAGACCCTACAAGCAGCCCGTCCTATGCAGATGTCGCCCGTACCCCTCCAACCAGCCAACCAAGCAACATACGGACTCTCTCATCGTTTAACACGACACCGACCACCTTCACCGATACGCTATATTGCACAATAGATACCTCGAATGTGGCCGATAATGGAACCGAGAGAATGTCCGCAGGCCCGATTAGGGCAGCAGTGGAGAAAGAGATCCGGACAATAGAAAACCACACTAACTGGCGCTGTCGCGCGGTTACGGTGGACCCGAAGAACACAAAGCGGGTCCGAATTGCTTGCCGGGATGAAGCCGAACACCAGCTGGTTAAGAAGGTTGCTGAAGCAACAATTGGCGCAGGAGCCCGGGTGCTCCGCGATGACCTCTATCCAATCAAAGTCGACAGTGTTAGGAAAGCAGCAGTGCTAGATGAAAACGATGAGATCCGAGTAGGGGCTGCAGCAGCTTTCAGCGAGGAGAATGAAACCACTGTTGCCAAGATCGCGTGGCTCAGCAAAAAGGAGAATGCGAAGGCCTATGGATCAATGGTGGTGTACCTGACCAAAGGCACCGATGCACGAAGGCTCCTGGCCGAGGGGTTCTTCCACGCTGGGGGAGAATCTGGCGTAACCAGCGCCTTCGAGCATCGGCCACGACCGACGCAATGCTACAACTGCCAAGAGATCGGACATAAGGCATTCCAATGCAACAACACCCAGAAGTGCGCGAAATGCGCCAAGGAAGGCCACCGCCACAGCATCTGCAACGAGACAGTCCTTAAGTGCGTTCCGTGCGGAGGCCCACATGAATCGTTCAGCAGAAACTGTCGGAAGCTCTATCCAGTGCAACATGAATAAGACGCTCCGAATAATTCAGCTAAACGTAAGGAAACAGGGCGCAGTGCATGACAGCTTAATGAACGACGAAGAAATTCAGGACGCAGCGGCAATAGCAATCCAAGAACCCCAAGCGAGAAGAATTAACGGCCGACTCTTGACAACTCCGATGGGACATCAAAAATGGACGAAGATGGTCCCCTCCACATGGAGGGAAGGAAGATGGGCAATCCGGAGCATGCTATGGGTGAGAAAGGACGTGGAAGTGGAGCAAGTGCCAATTGAATCCCCGGATCTGACAGCGGCGGTCATCCGGCTTCCCAAGCGATTGATTTTCATGGCATCAGTCTATGTGGAAGGGGGAGATGCCCAAGCTTTGCGTGATACATGCAGTAGCCTACGCAAGGCAATTACCAAGGTAAGGCGAGATACAGGCGCAGTGGTGGAAGTCCTGCTCGTGGGGGACTTCAACCGACATGATCAACTCTGGGGAGGAGACGACGTGTCTTTGGAGAGACAGGGCGAGGCGGATCCAATCATTGACCTTATGAATGAATTTGCTCTCAGCAGTCTACTAAAACGAGGCACAAAGACATGGCAGGGGGGAGGACAGGGTGGAGACTACGAGTCAACTATCGACCTCGTCCTGGCCTCGGAGAGTCTGACGGGTTCCATGGTCAAGTGTGCAGTACATGGGACAGAGCACGGCTCCGACCACCGCGCAATCGAGACTGCGTTTGACGTTCCGGTTCCGGTTGCTAAACAGCAGGAGCGACTGCTGCTCAAAAACGCGCCATGGAAGGAGATTAATGCTAGAATTATTACAAGCCTGGACAGCACGCCGTCGGACGGCACGGTGCAGCAGAGAACCGACCGACTAATGGCCGCGGTGTTGGAGGCAGTGCATGCCTTGACACCAAAGGCCAGACCGTCCCCATACGCAAAGAGATGGTGGACAACGGACTTAACACAACTCCGCTATATCTACACATACTGGAGAAATCACGCCCGCTCGGAGCGACGAGCAGGACGAATCGCATCACACCTAGAAGAGACAGCTAAAAGCGCGGCGAAGCAATACTATGATGCTATCCGTCAACAAAAGAATAACCACTGGAAGGAGTTCCTTGCAGACAACAACAACATATGGAAGGCCGCGAAGTACCTGAAGACTGGAGACGATACAGCATTCGGGAAGGTACCGCAGCTCGTCCGACCAGATGGTACCACCACCGCCGACCACAAGGAACAAGCAGAAGAGCTACTTGCTAATTTCTTTCCCCCTCTACCAAACAACATTGAGGAGGAAGGAGCCAGGCCACAACGAGCGCCAGTTGAGATGCCTGCCATCACCATGGAGGAAGTAGAGCGACAACTGTTTAAAGCAAAATCATGGAAGGCACCCGGAGAAGACGGCCTACCGGCGATAGCTTGGAAGATGACCTGGCCCGCGGTTAAACACAGGGTTCTCGACCTGTTCCAGGCGTCGCTGGAAGAGGGCACGCTACCAAGTCAGTGGAGACATGCAAAAATCATACCACTTAAAAAGCCAAACAAAGAGGACTACACTATTGCGAAAGCTTGGAGGCCGATTTCACTTCTCGCGACACTGGGCAAGGTCTTAGAATCAGTGGTGGCAGAAAGGATCTCACACGCAGTGGAAACGTACGGCCTACTCCCAACCAGTCACTTTGGAGCCCGAAAACAGCGATCAGCAGAACAGGCACTCCTGCTCCTGCAAGAGCAAATCTACACGGCCTGGCGTGGCCGTCGGGTCCTGAGCTTGATCAGCTTCGATGTCAAAGGAGCCTACAATGGGGTCTGCAAAGAACGACTACTCCAGAGGATGAAAGCGCGAGGCATACCAGAAAGTCTGATCCGGTGGGTCGAGGCCTTCTGCTCGGAACGAACAGCGACCATCCAAATCAATGGGCAAGGGTCTGAAGTACAAAGCCTACCACAGGCTGGACTACCGCAGGGCTCTCCCCTATCACCGATCCTGTTCCTTTTCTTCAACGCAGACCTCGTGCAACGACAGATCGACAGCCGCGGCGGAGCGATTGCTTTCGTGGATGACTTCACCGCGTGGGTGACCGGGCCAACTGCGCAGAGCAACCGGGAAGGTATTAAGGCAATTATTAATGAAGCTCTTGACTGGGAGAGGAGGAGTGGAGCGACGTTTGAAGCAGACAAAACTGCCATTATACACTTCACCCCCAAAGCACACAAATCAGAGCAGGAGCCTTTCACCATCAAGGGACAAACCGTTGAGCCTAAAGACCACGTCAAGATCCTTGGAGTGGTGATGGACACTAGACTCAAATACAAGGCACACATAGCCAGGGCAGCGTCCAAGGGCCTAGAAGCAGCGATGGAGCTCAAACGACTCAAAGGCTTATCTCCCTCAACAGCGCGGCAGTTGTTCACGTCAACTGTTGCCCCAGTGGTGGACTATGCCTCTAATGTCTGGATGCACGCTTTTAATGATAAGGCCAGCGGGCCCATTAACCGGGTTCAACGGTTTGGAGCTCAAGCTATAGTGGGAACTTTCCTCACCGTCGCAACCAGTGTGGCGGAAGCAGAGGCTCACATTACCTCGGCGCAAAGCCGGTTCTGGAGACGGGCAGTGAAGATGTGGACGGACATCCACACCCTACCTGAAACCAACCCACTCCGCAGAAATACGGATCGTATCAGGAAATTCCGAAGATTCCACCGCTCCCCGTTATATCAGGTGGCAGATGTGCTGAAAAACATCGAGATGGAAACACTGGAAACCATCAATCCATTTACATTAGCACCATGGGAGGAACGACTGCAGACCGATATTGGAGGAACCTCAGAGTCACCAGCAGAAGCCGGCGGATCTATGCAGATCGCAGTCAGCAGCTCGGCACGGAATGAGGTAGTGGGATTTGGCGGAGTTATTCAGAAGCAACCGCCCAAGTACAAGAAGCCGAGACTAAAGGCCTTCTCCGTCACACTGGGCGCGAGATCAGAGCAGAACCCATACTCGGGAGAGCTGGCAGCAATGGCACACGCATTTAAGACGCTACCAGTACTGAAACTGTACAGAATCACGCTGCTGACGAGCAACAAAGCGGCTGCACTTTCCCTGGGGAACCCGCGACAACAGTCGGGCCAGGAGCACGTGTGCCTGATATACAAGCTGATCAGAAGACTGCGGAAGAACGGAAACAAGATCACGATCCGCTGGGTCTCCACAAGCGAGGAAAACAAACTGCTGGGCCTCGCTAAAGTGCAGGCCAGGGCAGCGACCCAAGAGGACCCCATGCCATACACACAGCTCCCCAGAATGAAATCAACCACTCTTAACATCGCACGATCCCAACAAGACACCAGCAAAGCCTTGCCCGAGAAAGTAGGCAAACACGTGAAAAGGGTGGACGCGGCCCTCCCAGGCAAGCACACTCGACAGCTGTATGATCGATTATCGGGGAAAGAAGCAAGCGTGCTGGCCCAGCTCCGGACGGGCATGGCAAGACTAAACGGATACCTCTACCGAATCAACGTTGCGCCAACCGATCAGAACCACGCTGCTAACGAGCAACAAAGCGGCCGCA